AAGTCACCGTCAACTAGAGCTGTACATTCGTGTATTTATAACAAAGGGATGGGAAAGTCCCAGAATAATTTCCGGTCAGGGGTCAAATTAATAAAATTACAATTATGAATCAAAATGCCATAATAAAAAGAGGTGGATGGATAAAACTCAAAGTCGCTGATGGTCACCCGCTTCTCTCTCTTTGCATTTTTGATGGTATATACGTGCCCCCGTCTCGCGGTGACCGTGTATGGTCCTTCCCACTTTGGTAGCAGTTTCCGCGACCCTGGCGCGTATCCGCCGGTGTTTCGCCTATCTCTACATTTGACTTGATCTCCCATCTCGAATGCGGGGTACTCCTCCTTTACCCTCAGTTTGGCTTTCACAGCGTCCACTTTCTGCTTTCGTTTTACGTTGTTGATGGCTTCTTTCCGCTCCGTCCGCCATCTCGTCATACTCCAATGCTGATGGAGGGGCCAGGTCTTGTTATGTCTCGGTAGTCGTGGTTTCCTCCCATACATCAACTGAAACGGTGCTTTCTTCGTCGTTTCTTGCGCGGACGCACTATGTGCTAGCAGAATCAGTGGAAGCTCTGTCTCCCAGTTACCGCCCTTTGTGGCCAGCCACTCTTTCAGGGTGCGGTTATTTCTCTCCGTCAGTCCATTTGTTTGTGGATGATATGGCGTTGTTCTAATTTTCTTGATACCTAACTCTTGCAGCCGGGGCTTAAACCCTTCGCTTCCAAAACACGAACCTTGGTCTGTCAATATCTCTTTTGGCACACCGTGATTTGCAACGATATGTCGCACCACTGCTTCTGTGACCGTTTTTGCTCGTTGATCAGGGATCACGACTGCGTCTAGCCATCGTGTGGCATGTTCTGTCATGACCAGAAGATATTGATTGCCATTGGACGTTTGTGGAAAAGGTCCCATTACATCTACTGACCACAGGTCGCCTACTGCTGTCACTGGGATTGACTGCGGTGACGGTCGTATGTACTGATCACCTTTCATCAGCTGACATTACTCACACGCTGTTACGTACTTCTCGACGTCTTCTCTCATACCTGGCCAGTACATGCTTTTTCGCAGGAGATCGTTCGTGTGAGCTAGTTGGTGGTATTCCTGTATCGTCTCTTGGCGCAGACACTGAGGTATTACTGCTAAGCGGCTTCCGTCATCCTCCCGCCACGTCAACATTCCGCAGGCATTCAAGCTTAGCCGGTCTTTTCGTTTGAGTAGAAGATTTAGTTCACGGTTCGCTGTGGGCCGACTCACCTTTTTTTCGTTAGTTATCACTTGTATGACAGTTTTCAAGGTGTCGTCTGATCTTTGAATCTGGACAAGTCTTGCTGGGTCCTGCTCTAAGGCATTTACACCATATGCTATTTCCGGTAACTCTACCTCTTCTGTTTTAGATAAAATATCCGGTAACACATTCTCTTCTCCTGGAACATGAGAGATCGTGAAATCGTACTCTTGCAGGCGCAGCATCCATCGTGACAACTTCCTTCGTGGGTCTTTGGCGGTTTTCAGCCACTGCAACGGCTTATGATCAGTCTCTACGTGGAAGCGTTGACCCAGTAAATAAGGTCTCCATTTGTCTAGCGCCCACACAATCGCCATACACTCCTTCTCGATTGTTGAATAATTCTGTTCTGTGTGCGTTAAAACACGGCTGGCGTACTCGACGACTCCGTCACCCTGTCTGAGTACTGCACCTATTCGGTAATCGCTAGCGTCGGTAGACACTATGAACGGCTCTCCCGGTATCGGTAGTCACAGCGTCATTCTCTGGTGATCCATCATCTGTTTGATGTGGTCGAAAACTCTCTGCGAGTCTTCGGACCAAACAAACTTTGTCTCGCCTAATAGCTGGTAGAGCGGGGCCGCTACTTTGTTGAAGCTTTTCACGAGTCGACTGTAGAAAGCCGCTCTCCCCAAAAACTGTCTTAATTTCCTTTTCGAATTCGGGGGCTCAATGGACTTGACTGTTAAGATGTCATAATAAACAGAGGGGGATGGATAAAACTCAAACAATGTAGCATCATAATTACTGAGAAGATTGACATTGATTGTGTAATTCTGCGTTAGAAATGTAGAAATAACAAAAATAAAAAGGATGTTTGGGTAAAAAATCTAGTGGGATCATAACTAATATGGCAAATAATTGTTTATGCAATTAGGGATTAAATATGTAGAAATAATAAAATGACAAAATAGACAGGAAGTTCGGATATGAAAATATGGTAGTGTAAATAGGGAATAAGAAAACTTAAAAGTAACATGAATAAACAGGAGGTTTGGATAAGAAAAACGATGGGATAGTCACTCTTGAAAGAATTACTACTGCTACTTTGTTTGAGTTTTTTCTTCCTCCCCTATTGCTTATTACGTCATCTTAATTCCTAATTGTAATTTTATTAATTTTACCCTTGACCGGAAATTATTCTGGAACTTTCCTACCCATTTATTATCAATAAATACACGAATGTACAGCTATCTAGCTGATGACTTCGTCGAAAAGAAAATTTTCTTTGGTGCAACCATTTTTTTAATAGTTATAAATAGAAAAATTCATAAAGTTTTGCTCAAATTCGCTGAAGTGGTTGCTATCAAATGTCTGAAATCTGATTTATGTGTTGAGAAAGAAGCAGTTATCTGACTTTAAGTGCATTCATGGTAACTGGATGCCTTTACTCCGTCTAGATGGATTGCGTAATCTTTGCCTTTAGTATACTATATACTATACTTGTCGGTTCTTTCTATGATTTGAGTTGTACTCATGGTTCTATTTCTCAAATTGCTAGTTACTCATTATCTTTATTATGTAACAAACTCTGTTACCATTTTATCCAAGCGTTTTGTTTCATTTAAAGCTGAACTTTAATACTTATATAATCACTTTATTGCATGGAGGATTTCATCATGAACTGACATCAGTTAGAGAACCACTGGTAAACCTTGGAGTATTGGACAGCTGTTTCGTCCTAGTTTGGGACACTTCATTAGTACGCACCCACCGGGGTTGAAAACTAGGACCTTCTGGTTACAAGGCGAGCTAGCTCGTAGACCATTGAGCCACTGGGACCCGATCCACTGGTTCTTGAATTCTAACTTCTACCACTTCACGACATAGCGAAACCATTTTGCAATGTCTTCTTCGATGAGTTACTGCCTCATCTTCAACCTGCTGTACTCTACTGGTCACCGCTTCCCATGATGAAATCCTTCAAGCGATCAAACAAAAATCCCTACAAAACCAAAACTTGAGAATTAATCACTTTATTCCATAAAATGACAATTATAAGAATTCAAAGATTCATATTGAGTTATATGAAAGAAAAGGTGTTCAGCGAAAAGTAACTCTTCTTTTCGCCTGGAAAAGCGTAGGAATAGAAAGGTAAGGACGGATCGAAATACGCTCTGAAGTTTATCGATTATACTGAGAAGGTAATCTATACAGAAATATACAAACCATTAGCTATAAACGCTAGATTAAAGAGTTTCATATGGGTAGGTGTAATATTTTTTATCTTATGTCGGTGGCGCAGCGGTAAGGACGCTCGTCGGCCATGCACATGGTCCGAGTTTCGATCCCTGGCCACAGACGCACTCCTTTACCACACTAAGGCTGGTAAAGAGGAAAGGATCGGCATGAGGCAAGCAACCCTATCCTGTAAAATAAACACTGCTACAGAAACTTCAAGCCTCTAGCTTGAGGTCGCACTATTTTCCACTGGGAACGTGAAGGAATAAAAAGGGTGTAATATTATTATATTATATCATGTACAAAATAAATTTTCTTTATCTATCCAACCGACTAATATAGTTGAC